CATGCAATTTCGGGGCCATTTCACGAGTGTGTGGCCTTGGGTTAGATTCAACAAGCGTCTTCAGAGCATCAATATCAATTCCAACATGCCGGCCCCTGCCATCACATTGCTATTTTTAATGGTGCTTATTGCTTTATCTGACTATAGGTAACAGTAATAAGAAACGTGAAAGTAACTACATTAGTCAGCAATAAAGCAGGTTGTCCATTAATGAAGCAATCATTATAAAAATGAAAAATATAAATGATTTTAGTGAATTATTGATTCCATTAGATGTTATGATTTATTTGCAGTGTGCCAAAAATAAGAAGACATCAGCAGAAAAGTACATCAATTCAAACACGCCCGACAATGTTGCATCAATCCAGTTACCTCAAATACATCTATACAAAGTAATACTTCTAGATCATAGTTACCATGTGAGCGATATTCGTACAACCATGAAAAGAAAAATAGACAAAACAGTTGATCATATGAGCTAGGAAAAAATTATAGTTTTTCACAACAAAAAATAACAGCCATTTAAAACGAACTGTTATGTCATTAATGGTGATTGCGTATGCTCTGAAAAAAGGACAAAGTAATATTCACCAATGGTTTTGATATGCTGGTCAGCACCTTTTCTGATTCCCCTTTAGGAAATTGCTTATTAATTAACGGGGAAAATAATTTCACTCGCACAGCATACCTTCTTTGCCTTGACACTGCAGTTATACTCCAACAAAGTCTAGAAATTTGTAAGGCATACTTCCAGTGTAGTGAAGTGATATCAAAAGCACCGTTCATGGTACACTAAGCTTTACGCAAGAACCATTATTTCATGACAAGTAACAAAAAAGGAAAAGAAAGAATCAGAAAAGTTATTTGTGTATTAAAGCTAGATGAAATGGTCATAAGAAAAGATATGGAGTGAGATGGAAAGAAATTTCTTGGCTGTGTTGATGTTGTTGTAGATACAGAAAATGATACAACTCCTCTTGCCATGATGTATTGGTGTTTATGGTTGTCTCTCTAAACAGCAACTGGAAGGTGTCTGTTGGCAATTTCATTGTTAATGGCATGACAGAACAAGAACGAGCAAACTTAGTGAGAATATGTCAACAAAAACTGTCATATATCAAGATTGGCTCTTATTTGTGATGGTCCATGTTGAAAGAACTGTGTGCCAGTATGTCACCCAAAAACTTTCAGCAATGGTTTTCAACCATTAAAAATCTAGGTCATCCTTGGTCTATGCCATATGCTAGAGATCATTCGAAACGCTTACACCTAGGAAATAAACTAAGATGAATGCATATTCAATGGAAGAAGCAAAAACATGAAAGTTATCATTGCTGGACAAACTTCAAGTTCAAGTGTGAAAGATACCATAGAATTCTGCAACAAAGGCTAGAAATTACCTAAGATTAAGGGAATTTTATAGACTTCAAATTATTCAACTCCAGAAATCCATTGGCTACATTTTATGAGTCCTATGAGAATATCTAATGAGTCATTTTGGAGACCTTTTTTAGTAGAAATAGAAAATAATATTTTCTCAGTTAATAGGCATCACCTGACAAAATCGGTATGCAACTAGATGTAAAACACCATTTACTGGGTTTCCAACTGCAATAAGATATGTGCAGAAATTACATGAAACTTTAGTGTCATATTTGCCCTCTTTGAGGTATCTTTGGACATGTAAGTTAAGCCAGGATCACTTGGAGCTTCTTTTTGTTGTTAGGTCATCAGCTACATTTCATACGTCATGAAATAAAAACAGAAGGAAACTGTACTGTTCAGGACAAAACATCAATTTGTATGATAAAAAAGATCACACGGCACTTCTCAGTGGTTCTACATATGTGTTAGACATGTGTGGTACACAAATATGATCTTGAAGTACGTGAGCCTATACAAGATGAACATTATTACAAAGGTGTACCAAAATTAACACCCCCTTTTCTTATAAGGAAGCAACCGTAGAATGCATGGCTATTTACGTACTCGAAATGGCACAAAAAAAAAAGAATGTATTGTACAGATTGTTTGAAGGCTCTTATAGATGAAAATTCTAGAAATTTGTCATTTTTACAACAACAACAAAAAAAAAGAAACAAAAATGGAGGAGTTTGGTAAAAACATCAACAAGTGTAGTTAAAGTATGTTAAGCAACAAAGATGTTTTGTGAGACTCCTGAAGTCAATAGATGGTGACCTTCCTCAATCAAGTACGATTAGCCTTGGAATACAGATTACTATTTTTAAAAGTAGTAGTTTTGAATGGAGTTTTCTCTTGTTTAAATGGTCACATATTTGATTGTACACTAGATGGTTAACCATAAAATTTTTATAT